TAATAAATTATATGTAGTCATTTAAAGGGTTTTTCTCAACTTTGATAGAAAATAAATAGGAATTACAAATTGATGGTAATTCTGGCCTTAGGCTAAGAAGCTTATGCTTCTGGATGAGAAGTCATCCTGCCATCCTGGTACATTCTTTTGCTCCATTTAATAGATCTGTAATAGCTGCTTAAGACTCTACCGATAAGTCCTTTCTTTCTGTGATAAATTGTTTAGAAAATGCAACCTTCATAAAGCTATCATGCTTCCAATGTTCCTTTCAAAAAACACAATTAATGACATGTGTGTACCTTATCACAGGGCATATGGGAAAATATGAGTAAAAGGCAGGAATGAGCTCTTAGTAATTTGAATGAGTGGTATCAGCTATGTTCAGCAGGAATTCCTGTACATTTACTCTATAGGGATGTAGCCATCCATCACTTGGAACTAAGGAAATATCACCGATCCCCCAAGAGCAGTGACAAACTTTGTGGCTTTATAATGTCACCCCAAAAATGACTTGTATTAACTTTCAAAGTAAAATAAAAAGTAGTTAAGGGTTAAATGACAACAAATATCAGGGACACCAAATTTTGCAAAAGTCAATAATAAGAAAAAGGAAATGATTTATAAACATTAGTAAATCTATGTTTTTTCAGTATCGGGAACTTTTTGTTACCTAGGGAAATTGTATTAAAGGCATGAAATAGGTCCTTCTCTGTCAAATTAAGAGCAGACAGTACTTGAAAATCAACTTGTTGGTGTGACAGAAAGGATTTCACACTGAAGTTTACTCTTTCTTTTTATCCAACCTGTGTGATATTTGTGATTGTTTTTTTAGTGTTGGGGACCAATCTCAGGGCCATGTGCATGCAAGGCAAATACTCTTGCTGGGCTAAATTCTCTGCCCTTTTGCCTATTTTATTATTGTCCTCATCAAAATTCATCTGTCACAATTTAGTATAATTTTTAGCTTCTTTTTGAATGCTTTATTTGTAAAAATAGTTAAAGCTTTTCTAGAAAGTCCTCCATAAATTATCCTATCCTGGCTTTGTCTGCTTTAAATGCTAGTTATTATTCACTCATTCCCGACCGATGTCTGTATATTTAGACCCTAAGGCAAACTGTTCTTTTTCAGTTGTTAAAAAAAAATCACTTCCAACATGTTTTTAATGTCTGCATCTCTTAAAAGAAATGTTTTGAGAACATTATCAATGAAGTCAGCAGGTGCATTACCACCACCCCTTCCTCCCTAACTCCTGCTTCAACCTACCTCTTCCTCCCAAATTCATGATCTCTTCTTTATTACTGTTTTATGTATATACACATGTATGTATATATATCTGCACATGTGGGTATATGTGTACATGTGTGTGTGCTGATTACTTGGAATTGGCAAATCATGGAGGGGCTCGTTCCTGGAGGACACTGCTTCCTCCTCTCTCGGCAGCCATTGACCCCCTCTAAGTCTTCATCTAGAAGTGGAGCTTTCAGGAATTTCCCAGTTCACACAGGCTGGCCAGTTAATGTTGCCATACTGTTGGGATTTCATGAGTGTATTTTCCTGATCTTGTCTAGGAGATGCTATCTAGTGGCAGGTGTGTCCTTGGCTCTGGCTCTTAAATTCTTACTCTCTCAGAATCTGTTCTTTTGAGTTCTTCATCTAGGATTGAGGTCTTCTTAAATTTCCCCCATCTCCATTGGCATAGCAGCTGATGTTGTCATTATACATGTGTTTCTTATGCAACCATACTGCTGATATTTCATGGGTGTAGTTTCCTTGCCATGGCAAGAAGACACTGTCTAGCAGTCAGTGTCCTGGTCATCTGGCTCTTAAAATCTAGGAATGATCTCCTTTCTAATTTTTCTATAAAATAATCTGTGATTGAAGTTAAAACTCATATTCCAAAATGATGTAATTCCTGTGATATACAAGACAGTGCATATTAGAGGAAGACACAGTCTTCAAGGCAAACTGTAGAAAAATACAAAAGACAGATTTGAGCTTCCTTGCTTTCCACTGGTAACCAAGTTTTAATACCAATTTAGATTTCAAAATAAGACTCTCAACTCTGCAAATACCAAGGGAAGAGAAATAATATGCAAAACAAACAAAACAAAAGAAACTTGTGTGGTAGAGAGGAGAGAGCTGCTTGTTTGTTCCCTGCCGCCCGACTAGCTTAGACCTAAAATAATCACACAGAAACTGTATTAATTAAATCACTGCTTGACCCATTAGCTTTAGCTTCTTATTGGATAACTCTTACATCTAAATTTAACCCATTTCTATTAATCTGTATATTGCCACATGGCTCTGGCTTACCGGCTAAAGTTCTGGTGTCTGTCTCCAGTGGGGCTACATAGTGGCTCCCTCTCCAACTTCCTTCTTTCAGCATTCAGTCTAGTTTTCCCTGCCTACCTATGTTTTCCCCATAAACAGGCCAAGGCAGTTTCCCACACCATTTCCCCTTTTCCGTTCAAGTAAAAAAGAAAGGTTTTTACTTTAACATAGTAAAATTACATATAACAAAACAGGTATCAAACAAGAATTACAGTTACAATATTTATATCTACTTTATCTTTTATCATAACTAAGGAAAGCTATTACTATAAATTTTTCAACTTCATCAAAGACTTCAGAAGGATATAATGCCACATAAGTAAACAGAAAGTACATTGTAAGCATCTTCCAAAACTCTAAAGTTGACAGAGGCATCTCACTGCCTGAACAGTTACTCAAAGTTTCTGTACCATTGGGGCATCCATCTTCAGCCTACTGGACCATAGTATCCAGCAGACTTTTCCACGAAGCAGGAAATTTCAGACAGTTCCACCTATAGTTGCAGTTTGCCAGTCACTTTTCTTCTGTGTCTTGCAGAATGTCTCACAGATTCTTTCATGTAGCAGGAACCCCAAAGGATCGTCTCACCTTTAGACAAATTTAGCATTCATTTTTCTCTGGGTCCTGCATGTTCAGTTTATCAAGTAATCTAGGCAGTTTGTTGCTCAAATGGATAACCAACTCCATACGGAGCCTCTTCGATGCCCATCTTCCTCTTGAAGTAGTATACTGCAAGGAGCAGATGTGTCTTGTTGTCATGTGTCTTAAGTTTTTAAACATTTTAATTGCATATTCTGAAGGTCTCTGAAAGATTTGAAGAAGACCCATCTAACTGAAATATATCTCTATTATGTCTAGAAAATCGGACATGACTATTAGTTTGACTGTTATAGATGATTATCTATTAACATATATTTCCTAATTATGCATTACATTTTTCAATGAGCTGCACAAACACAATACCTTAATCAAGAGCAGAAATATGCATGTAACAAAATTAACCCCAATCAAAGATCCATACCAATGCAAATTTCTATGCCATATCCCCCCTTTAAATGTAAACAAACATTTATAAACAATATTATGAAAATATGGGCATAGTAAAGAGAATTTAGTCTACCACATTGGGTGCTAATTTGTGGTAGGGAAGAAAGAGCCACTTGTTGGTTCCCTGCTGCCTGGCTAGCTTAGATCAGAAATAATCACACAGATACCATACTAATTAAATCATTGTTTGCCCCGTTAGCTCTAGCTTTTTATTGGCTAACTCCTACATCTGAATTTAACCCATTTCTATTAATCTATATATTGCCACATGACTGTGGCTTACTGGCTAAAGTTCAGGTGTCTGTCTCCAGTGGGGCTATATGGCATCTCCCTCTCTGCCTTCTTTCTTCCAGCACTCAGTCCAGCTTTTCCCACCTACCTAAGTTTTTCCTATCAACAGGCCAAGGAAGTTTCTTTATTAATTAACCAATAAAAGCAACACATAGACAGAAGGACCTCCCACACCAGACTTGCTCAAGAACCTACTTAATGCAAAAATAAAAACAGGCTAGAAGAAAATAAAGCAAAACCACATTATTCTGAAAATTAAGAAAACTGGGTGTGAAACCTGAGGCCTGCACTGGAGAAGAGGCAGCTGTGGTGGGTGAACTTCTCTGTGGGTCTCCTTTAGATATGTGCACAGGAGACGTAAAACAGTTCTGCTTTTTAGTATCTATATCTATATGCTAAGAATTTGTGAGAGAAATAGACACTGAAAGATTTTGAGAAACTAGTTACTATGTTAAAAATAAATCTTATCTATGATTTTTATAGACACAAAGGTGCTAAGTCTACATACTCATACTACATACAAACTCGTGGCAGAGAACTAGCAGTTTTCTTCTATGTTATCATTAGTGCTGCAGGATTATTTACATTAGTATTGAAGGCTGATCACAGTTTCTCGTATGATTCCTCTGTGGTTTGTCCTGTAGCCCAGGATCCTGCTTGCCACAGTGTTGTCCCTCTTAGGTCTAAGATCTGGATTTTCAGGTGATGCTGAGTTTGCATATATGTGACAATTGATTTGATATTTAAAGTAGAACTGTAGGGACATGAAAATTATTTATACTCACCCTCTGTCTTTGAATAGTTGTGGATATGTTTGAAAGATTTACTTTCTTTTGAATTTTTTTCCATTGGAAGTTTCATGTTATACGTAGTTATTCTAGCATTTCAGCCTTTTTTGGAACTTTATCAGCATAGTTAAGTGAGGTTTCATGTTAACTTCTATGTACAAGTCTTAGTACATTTCTTGTTTCAATGTATTTGTCATTGAAGGCTGACCTAATAATAAAGGCCCATAATCCTAACTTTTCTACAGGCTGGGGCAGGAAAATCCATGAGTTCCATACTTGTATGGGATACAGTGAGTTCAAGGCCCCTTTGAGCAACCTAGTAAGACTGTGCCTCAAATTAAAAACATAAAAAAACTGGGGATGTAGCTTAGTGGTAGAGTGCTTGTACAGGAGATCATAGCTTGATAGCTCAGTACTGAGGTGTGTGTGTGTGTGTGTGCATGTGAGTTTTTGTGTATACAATCATTATCTAAAGAATTTAAGACTATAGATATGTTTATTCTTCTAGCTATCGCTAAGAAGTTTCACTATTTTATTTTTAGGTCAAAGACCGTTATGAAGCCCGATAAATTAGACAATAAAGTTAAAAGAATTGGGCCACACATAGAAATTTACCAACTGTTCCAGGGAAGAAACAAACTTGTATTTACTAAAAGAATTGTTAAACTGATCACCATCGCACAAGCATTTATCAGGGGATGGCTTGAACGTAAAAGATTTCAAAGGATAAAGACTAAGGTAAGCCATGCCTCACAGGCAAGCGTCTTTGACTTTCTTATGTAGATTCAATTATAGAATTTTGAATACTCTGCTGGAAGTAGTTGTGTAATTTCTAACAAAGTTCTATCTACACACTTTTGATTAAGAAAATGAAATGAATAATTTTCACTGGGAGCAGTTAATTTGAACATGGAATAAAATACTAGGTTTATCCATAGCTTGGCAGTTCTTAAACCAGACCAAAATGTCTTTTTTGTTGTTGTTGTTGTTACTCATTCTCAAGTTACAATAACTGGAAGCTTTCTTCTTCCCAAGCCTCAGGGTATCCCTGCAGTGTGAAATGTTTCCTTTTGAAAAGAACTGTATGCAACCATTCTCTCCCCTCAACATCCATCTTGGCAACTTTCAGAATCAGCAACCTCAATTTTCAGAATAAACCACAAGTATTCTTTTGGCTGCTCAAATCCAAGAAAAGCCCAAATAGATCTTGGAAACACTGTAAGAACATAAGAAATGTCCTCATCTTGAGGGCAAAAGCTTGGAGGCTATGAAGAATAAAGTGAGTGAAAAGTGTGCACATTTCTCAGAGTAGCGCTCCGGAAGGGCTTGTAGTTGTGCCCTGCAGCACCTGTGTGTAAGAACATAGCTCTCTGCTATGTGTAAGGAAAAGTGTACCCATTATGTTATCATTATGTATGATGATGTATCATATATATATAATTATATATCTTTCTGATATTAAATCTAATGTCTTGTAAGAAATAAACTTTTAAAATTGTTTTTATTGGGCTATACATGTTTCTCTGCTCCCCTCCCTCTCCCTTCTCTTCTTGCTCTCCATACTCCCAATTTTACTCAGAAGATCTTGTCCTTTTCTCCTTCTTATGTAGACCCATGTATGCGTCTCTTAGGGTTCTCTTTGTTGTCTAGGTTCTTTGGGGTTGTGGACTGTAGGCTGGTTTTTCTTTGCTTTATGTCTAAAAGTCACGTGTGAGTGAGTAGTTATTATATATTTCTTTCTGGATCTGGGTTACATCACCAGGTAAACACTTATTATTCTTAACCCATTACTAATTCTTTTAGATAGCTGATATATCTGTTTTATAAGTGAAGAAATCCAAGCTCAGATGTGTTAAATCAAGTGCTCAGAGTTGAGTGAAACTGCTGATGAATGCCTGTCTGGCACCAAAGACTGCTTTTTCTACATCTCTTATCACTTACTTGAAATACTCCGGGCAGGACTGTTTCTGAATCCAATCAAAGCCAAATCATAGAACTGTCTCTGTAGCTCAGACCCAGGTATTACACGGCCTACTTGAACTTTCCATAGCTGGGTCACCCTTCATATAGCCTGAAATGAACTCATTTTCTTACCTTCCCAAGTACTTTCTCCCTTGCACTGTCTATGCAGTACGTCAACTGTGCAGGACACTGCTTAGAATTGTCTGTGTTTTTGATATTTTTATTGCCATACCCAATTGCTATGAGTTTCACATATTTTTACATTATCTTTTTCTCTGCTTCCTATCCCTCAGATTTTATTTTAATCTGTTCTCACATGAATAAGTACAGTGGATTTCCAGCTGATTTCCTTGACTGTGAGCTTATTCTCATTTAGTCCTCTGTAGTCTATGCCATATGTTATAAATTTATCATTTTTCCTTAGTTCTCCTGGTCTTATGCTACCTTATACTGACTGGACATGAAGTGTGAACTTCCTGACAAGAACATATAATCACCTGTCTCTAGCTTCTGTCCGTCAGCACATGGTGCTCCTTTGCATATGCTTTAGAAATTAGTAAATTAGTAAATTCCAAATTTTGATGCACCCAAACCCCCCATTCCCTGGTCCATAGTGCAGAGAGGCAACCAACCCTCCCATTT